ACCCCCTCGGAATCAATAGTATCGCCGGTGAAGCCGGCAAGAGGGGTCTTAATGGGCCGAAGGGTCCCCCTCTCCAGATGCAGCTCTCTAAAGGTGCTGAGGTACATTACATTGACGGAGCTGCCCGTGTCAATGTAAGTTCGGTGAATGATGGTGTCGTTTATTTCAGTCCGAATCACCAAGGCATCCCTGTGAGGAGAAGAAGTAGGAGGGAGATCTGCGTTGGTGAAGGTGATGGGTTCCTCCCTCAGCCGCTTTACCGGGGGCATATGAGTGACTTCCCCCACGTAAAGCGATTGAGCCCACTTTTTCCGCTGGCTGGTGGAATCGCCCCCTGTATTGCCACCGGTGATCATGAGGATGTGGCGTTTTTTCTCCTGGTAGTGGGGGTACTCCTCCTCTTCCTCCTCCAAGTTTCCGATCTCCCTCTTCTTGCCGAGGGGGATGGTGTTCGGGTTCACCCAAGCGTTCACCTTCGTGTGGTGCCCTCGGGGAGGTCCCTGATGAGAAGGTCCCTCCTGCCGAGGGCTCTGGATAAATTGGGACAGGTGCCCCGCTTGTATCAATCTCTCGATGGCCGTCTTTAGCTGATGGCAGTCATCGGTTCTGTGCCCCTGGTGCCGATGGAAACGACAGTATGGGAACTGAGGGTTGATAGCATGTACCTCCGGGGGTGCGCGAGAATCGCGCTCAACGAGGCCCCTCTCCTCGGCAAAATCAAGGATGATGCTGACGGGGTGCGTCAATGGTGTCCGGGGGCGGTCCAGGAGAATGGCTTGTGCCCAAGTCTTGGGGTTGTTCTTATAACCTCCCCCGGGCTTGGCTTGGCCTTGCCGATGGCGGTCATCAGAGGGTCCTGAAGCCTTGGGCTGATTTGGAGGAGCCCCCGGCCCCCGGTTGTTCCTGTTGTCAGCCTTCGGGGGTTGCTGATCCGGATGCTGGTGGTATTTCTCCACCTCCTCGGCCTCGGCATATCGGTCCCCCCGCTGCAGGGCCCTTATGTAGTCGCGGGGGGGTTCAATGATGAGGCTCCTTGAAAAGTTTCCGGTGCGGAGGACGGTTTGTAGGAGGGCCAGGAGGGTCCCGTCGTCAGCACCGTCGACTTTGTCGGCTTCCGTTCTCCAGCGCTCCAGGAAGTCCCGAAGGGTCTCATCCCTCCTCTGGTGTATGGTTAGGAGGAGGGAAAAGTGCTTCCTCGTGCGACGCCTCCCGGCAAATTGCGTCAAGAATCGCTGGGCGAGTTCTTGCCACGAATCAATGCAGCCTTCGGGCAACCGGTTGAACCATTCGTACGCCGGCCCCTCTATGGTGGAGAGGAACCAACGACACAAATATTCGTCCGACGCCCCTACCATCATCATGCTGTTCTGATATTTGCTGTAGTGTTCTTGGGGGTCCGTCTTCCCGTTGTAGGGCTGTATGTGTTGCCCTCGGTATTTTTCCAGGATCCGGGCCGCCAATACCCTTGGGGTGAATGGCGTCCGGGTCCGGAGCTGGATGATGGGTTCCCCGGAGCCCTCGGCTACCTTCTTCTGTAATTCCTCCATTTTGGCCATCAATGCCTCGTATTTGAGGTCTGAATGAGGGGTGGAGGTGGTGGCGTGAGCTTTGTTGACCTCCATTTCATCAAGTCGGCGTTGGAGGGCCGCAATAATTTCGTCCCGGGGGTCCTTCGAGAGGGTCTCCGCACCCTGCGAACGAACCCGAGCCGAGTGGGCCTGGTTGATTTGGTGGCGAGCATCGTCGGCATGAAGGGGTGCCTTGCCTTTGTCCCGAGGAGGACGCTCCTCGTCTGCCCTCGAGACAGACCCTCCGCTTTCCTGGGGCCTTTGGAGTGCCTTTCCTCCGAGGCGGTTTTGGACCCCTCGGTGGTCTTGCCCCCCTCCGAGCCGGTTGAGGGCGGAAGTGCGGGGCCTTTCTCTGTTGTCATTGTGGCGGTCCCGGGACTGAACCTCCTGGGAGGCCGTATCTTGGGCCATTATCCCTTCGTCATTCCCAATCCGAGGGATGGGGTTTCCGAAGGGGTGTGGCAGAGGGGGAAGCAGGATGTTCTCCCCAACCTGGGGTTGAGCCGGAGCCAAGGTGCCGAAGGCACCCGGGTTCTGAGTGAGCGTCTGGATGAAGGCGGAGAGCGCCGAATGAACGTCGATGGTGAGAACCGGAGGGCTGACTTGGTCATCGCTCCGGTTTTTCTTCTTGGCCTCGATGCCGAGGCGGGCATCGGGGGCATTTTGCTGGATCTGAAGGCGTAGGTCGACAGCCGCCTGTTCCAGCCCAGCGATGACACCGCCCTCGGGAGCCCTGTGAGAGGCTTCAGGGGCGTTGACGTCGCCGAGGGCCAGGTTCTTGTCTTCTACGTTTTTGGAGTTGGCACGTGTTGTTCTCACCATTTTGGTAGAGGGCTAGTGTTTGGCGAAGGGGGAGGGTTTCTTACTTGATTGTTCGACCTCTCAATGAAAGCACCAAATGATGGACAGTGTACCCGGGGGGTAGCTTATCCGGGGGGCTATTGCGGGGAATAACAAGAGAGAAGTCAGCGCAAGTAAGTATAGAGAGAGAAAGTGTATTCAGAAAGTATGCAGCGTTTATGACTTGTGACTTGGTTACAAACGGGGAAATGGTGTGCTATTTATAGTAGCAATAAATGCCGGACAAGGACACATGTCAAGCGTCCATTGGCCGAGAGGTCACCTCATCTGGTTGGCGCTGGCAACCGCATGTGGCCGCATTTAATGCGGCTGTTGGATGGGACGTTGTACAGGGCACGGCGATCTGTACGCATGTGGCGCGGATATCATGTCGGGCAGGGTGCCCTCGACTGTAGAGGACTAGCCGAGGGCTCCGAGTACTGGGGACCCCCCTTGGTGCCGAGGGCTCCAGGTGCCGAGGGCTACTGATTTTTGCCGTTTTTCCCAGCAACTTCGTTTTGCTGTCCTGGCCCTCCTGTGAGAGTCAGAGCCTTCGGCCAGGGGGCCGAAGGCACCCCTGGTGCGCATTGTGGGCTGCTTGGTACTCTGGGCGCCGTGATTTGGGCCTGTTGGGCCTTCTGGGCTTGTTGGGTCTTTACTGGAGTAGTAAGAGTCTGTGGGCCGGGGGTTCCCGGGCCATATACTCCATCAAACACCAAGCTCAGGAATCAATCAGACTTAGCAAATAATGAGGCTAGCCGACCTCGACCCCCCGAGGTCGGGAAAACATTAGGCTCGGGAATCAACCAAACTCCGCAAGTTATGAGCCCGACCTCGAAGGCTCCGAGCTTGGCACCAGTTCTGACCTCGGGCATCAACGCAAGGTCAACCAGAGTCGAGCAATAGAGTCAACGATCTCGAAGACAGTGCTTTAGATAGAAGGCGAACTCCTGGGCGATGATCCCGAGTCCCTGAATACTGACCTCTGGGCACAGGGTCTTATCAAGGCATCATGGACTTGGGCAAAGCAGAAGACATCTCCTCAGGTATCGAGTTTGAGCCTGCAGATACTGGCCTTGCATATACTGACCCCGCATATACTGACCCCGCATATACTGACCTCGCAGGTACTGACCCCGACAGGACTCGGGCTATGACAGAAGCTACGGACTTAGACAGATACGCTCATACGCAGAGGGTAACGCGCACACTATGTCAACCGCACCTTCCTGTATTGGGCCTAACTCGTTCTTTGCATCAACCCTGCGGCACTCTATGCGCCCAAGGGCCTTATTTATATTTGATGCACTCCATGTAATGGGCCTAGCCCACTATTCCCTAGGTTAGCTCGTTTCTTCCCTATAAATAGACGCTATGTCTATCTTGTAACTCTAACGTAAATTCTAATGTGTTACGCTCTGAGTGCTAAACCTAATTCATTGAGACTATACCTCTTTATGTTCATTCTCTCTATTCTCTCTAGGTCTAGGCATTTCTAGATCTATCACGAACAAACAGTTGTTTCAGATATTGAAAAATAAAACTGAATCGAACTGAGCGTTTACTTTAATTTGGCATTTGGTTTTAGATAAAATTGAACCACATGAACCAAACTCACACCTAGCTCCAGGTCCAGGTTCAGTTGTGCCGAAATATTTTTGTCTCGGCAGGTTGTTCAAGAACTTAAAATAATTAATGTGGTTTTAATTCTGAAAATCCGAGGCATGAGAATTTGAGAGTTTTGAGACCTGTGATTTATGTATGGGATGTTTAAAATTTTATAATAAAAAATTGGTGAATCATATGAAAGGTATTTTAGATGGTCCAATTCCAAAAACTTAAAAGTAGATCGATTGTTGATAATATTGCGGTAGCTTTTGAGGCTCGATATTTTTTTAAACCAAAAAGACATGGAATAAGGGCTATATGGCCTCAAAATTAGATGCAAGTCATAATTGAGTGGAAGGAGATTTCATGCGATCATCGGATCATTTATGGTGACAATGAGTTTTAATAGCAGATTGAACGAGACTAGTTAGAGCATCTCCATTCATGATCTCTAATAATCAATTTTTTGTATGATTCTTACCATTTAAGTATTGTTATATAATTAATTATAAAATAATCTCAAAATTCGTTTATGTCTCTCAATCATCATCTTCAAATAATCTATTTTTTCTCTGTCTTGCATTAATCTCTATTACATATATTTTTCAAATAATTTTAAAATAATCCGGATTCATATTTTGATCCCAGATTATTGTAACAAATAATCTCATTAAATAATCTATGTCACTCAATGATAATTCCTTAAAAAACTTCCATGTCACCAAATTAATCTCATAATAATCTTCCCAATGAGGATGCCCTTAGTAATGGGATGTGTTTCGACAATTAATTACTATTATCAGTTTGGTAATTTCATTTACAAAATATTAAAGGATATGTAAGCAGCAGGTATTACATGGAAATTCAAAAACATTGCTAAACCGCCTGCGACATGTATAATATATGATTTGACTATCTTATTATATTTTATTTTGTTTCAAGCGTTTTAGATATCATTAGAATTTAGAAAGATCCTATCAAGTTCTAAAAACTTGTATTCGTAGTTCATTTACAAAATATTAAACCACTTTCATTTATAACTACTTTCACTTGCGCCAATGCTCATGCAAAGTTCAAACATACTATGACCACTATCCTTGCAAACTTTAATGTTTATTACATCCTTACCTTAATAGACACGTAGCAGTGCGGTGTGAAAGTATAATTGTAAATTTCATACGAATTATGTACACCATGCTGTTCACAGAGATGAATACGATCTGATCTGAGTTCAGGACCTAGGGTCCCAGTCTCCCAGACTGGCCGAGTGGCCGGTATTCTTCCCAAGACCAACCCTAATTTTCTATTCCAGACCAGAACCACTCCAGGAAAGTCGGAAACAATGTCACCAAGTACAGTTCCTCCAAAATCGGACCGGGTACACCCAAATACAGTTCCACCATTTTAAGGACCCGGAACATGGACCACATCCACGCTGAGTGCTACTTCACAGTCAACTATATCCTTACTAATTCCCAAGCGTTTATAAAAGGGACGCGAAGAACCACTGGACTGGGGGTCACTACCCCGTTTTGACCAAACAAAAATACTACGTACAATTTAAAAAGAGAGGTATGAGGTTTCCGTTTACTACAATGGATGAAACCAAGTTCATAACTTTGCAACTACATGGCTAGAACTTGGAGGTTAGGCAGGAAAGCATCACCAGATAGGAATCAGCCATTCAATAAAACCAAATTTCCTCACAACCTAATAAAAACTTGCTTGAACTGGCAGACTGGCAGTTCAAGAAACCCAGGTAACAGCAAACTGGCAGACTATGTTGAACAATCAGCAAGCGTGTCTTCTTCTTCTTTCTTGACTCTTAATACCTTCGTCTGTTTTGATTCAACGCTTCCTTTCGACAGATTGACAACTCGTGGAATCCCTAGAGCATTAGCAAACAATCTCTTTGCAGCTCCCATATGCTGCTCTTTGATCAAGTCCTCTTTCCGAATCCCGCCCTCACTTTTTACTTCACCCAGCAGAGAGCCTACACTATTGTTATTCATGTCCATTTTCATCTCTGTTCCCCCTTCTTCCTTGATGATGACACCATCCATATGCTGCTCTTTGATCAAGCCCTCTTTCTCAATCCCGCCCTCACTTTTTTCTTCACCCAGCAGAGAGCCTACACTATTGTTATTCATGTCCATTTTCATCTCTGTTCCCCCTTCTTCCTTGATGATGACACCATCCATGGCTTCCCATCCCCTTTCCTCATCCAAAGCCGTGAAGATTATCTCATTGTTAGACTGCCTAATTTTCTGTCCAAGGGCGTGTTCTATCATTCTGCGGGCCACTTTAAGATCCTTCTTCGGCCTCTCTGTCGCATTTCCTACCTCTTCTGCATCACCTGAAAAAATCCTCTGACGTGCAGCAAGATATGAGGCTTCTTTCTCGTCAAGTGAAGTGAAATGTTTTGTTTTTGGATTCTCTGCCTGTGAAGAACCTATGCCAAAATGTAAAAAACTATTTGAGCTCCGAAAAAAACTTTTTCTTTGATTAAATTTTTTTGTTCAGTGTCTTTGGGTGTGGGAAGAAAGCATATTCTAATTCTTGTGGGACGCATCTCCGTTTGGTCTTTCTACACTATTTCGTTGGCATCCCATAGAGCAGAAACATCGACTTCTTCCCCTTGCATTTCCCTCTTCCCAATCCCTCTTCCAAACAGACCATTTTATTAATGGTCTGTTTGGAGCCCATAAGATGCTAGGGAAAGAAAATAGTAAAAAAAATGTTTTTTGGAAGGCCAAAAAAATAGTGCATAAAATAATGGTTTTAACTCAATATATCACTTTTGGATATTTGCCCAATATATTTGCACCCCACTTTTTGGGTGGTATTGGACTTTGCACCCCATTTTCAAAACTCTTAGACTTTGCACGCTATCTACAACATTTTGTGAAGAAAAATTCCTGAATGGGGTGCAAAGGCAAAGACATTTTAGGGGAAATAGGGTGCAAAGTCTAAGAGTTTTAAAAATGGGGTGCAAAGTCCAATATCACCCAAAAAGTGGGGTGCAAAGTCAAAATATCCCTTATCAATACATTTCAGTTATACAAAGGCTAAATAATCAAAATATACTATCACAATATTTCTATTTTATTTTATTAATACATTGATATTTTTAGTTGGCTTGGGAATATGATGGAATAAAGCAAAATGTTGTGAAGCAGTAGTCAGTCCATGCAATTTTCGACGCGATTTTCATCATGGGTCATCCAGAAACAGTCTCTTTGTGCTTTAGTGCATGGGTAAGGCCGTGTAGTCTGTGTACATCCAACCCCCCTTACCCCACCGTAGCTGGAGCCTTTGCGGCAATGGGGTAATGTTGTTGTATTTATATGTTTTATTTATTATAAAAAGGTTGCATAATCAAAATATATGTTCAACTTTTTAAAGAGACAATCAAGTCTGATTTTTCTTGTATTTCACAAGCTCCAATGAAACATTCAAAATTCATTTTCCTTGTCATTTCTTTTTCCTTTCCAAGTTTCTATATTTTTTAATTTGATACGGAGCCTAAGTATATAGTGTCGAAGGAAAATTTCATCTATATTTACCAAGAGAAAAACATTATACCATCTGCCCCCTCATGCTTTCTTGATAGTACATCAAAATTCAGTGGAGACACCACTTCACCACACTGCTTCAGTACATCTCTAACCAGCACAGACGGGCTGCAATTTTAATTGTTGCTGTAAATGTCAACTGTCTGAGATCCAATAAATATAAACACCCAACTGTTTTCACTGTTAATCCCAAATTTAGAGCACCACAGAAGTTTCAGCTTAAATTCAATTTCGGAAGTCGAAACGCATATCTAAAATCCAAAATGCCACAAAAGAAGATAAGAAAAGAAAGGAGTAAAATGTTCCGTGTACAAAAACTACAATACTAATATCCAGTACATATATACTGAATTCTGAATTTAAAATGAACTCAAGAAAAGTATTGATGTTTCAAGTGTAAGTAATTGGTTGGGCACAAGTTATCCAGACATGAGCATGATCAAGCATTTAAATACAGAATACTACTAGTAAAAAGGCGCTGGTTTCCCTTTATGCTAGCAAAGGCGTCCAGCATGGCAGCACCCATACTCTTTATCATTATATATGGATTATTTCAAGGCAATGTTTGAAAATCAGAAAATGGTACAAAAACGGGTGATAATGGTTTTTTATATTTAGTTGTACATTTGAAAAATATGGAGGAAAAACAAATCTGATGAAAACATTTAATAAATATATATATTAGAGAAAATTGCTCCATCATTTGCAATGGAGCCAAAGATTCATTATTTTTTGGCTTGAGATTATGATGGAATGAAGCAAAATGGCTCACTAAACTGTCTGCGCTTCTTTGTTATGAAGCAGCAGTCAATCCATGCAATTTTGGACGGGATTTTCACTATGGGTCATCCGGAAACAGTCTCTCTGTGCTTTAGTACAGGGGTAAGACTGCGTACATCCGACCCCCCCTTACCCCACCGTAGGTGGGAGCCTTTGCGGCACTGGGGTAAATGGAAATGAAAATGAAATATATTAGAGAAAATTGTTAATAAAATGAGTTTGACCAAATATCTAAAATTGACATATTGAGTTTAAAGAAAAAAATTATCCTCACATTTTCTTTCCTTTTAAATTTCCTCTCTATTTTCCATATTTCTTCCCGATATCTTTCCCCTAGGATTTTACAAGCTCCAAATGGACCCTAAAGCTCTAGTACCAAAAAAAAAGTAGCACAACATGAAGGATAGTCACACTACAATACCTGAGGTCCAATTACTCATGTACATGTGACCTAGTTTGAAGCACGGGTAACAATATAATGGCATGAACTTCAAAAGAACATTTATTTAAAATATTAATTTACTTGGGAAAGGGGATAATGAATCGAAGTAGGTGCTCAAATGTTCACATACATCAATGTCTCAGAGCATCGCTCAACAACTAAGTGTCGATCCTCTCCTTCACCCTCAGAATGATGAGATAACCTAGCAGTATTAGACAATGATGATGTTCATTAAACACAAAACAAGCTCAATAAGCAGAATAGTCATTCAAAAGCCACACTGGCGGCGCACAAGTGCATTTCATACTGGAGATTTAGCAAAAACAGGAAACGGTAATAGGCCAATTGTATACAGTTATCCACTCACCCAAATATATCAGCAAGCCGGTGTAAAAGATGACGACTATATGAATCCATTGGTTTCAGCTCCAGAACCCCATTGGAACTGCATAATAATATTTCATTACCAGTCATTTCAAAAGAAACCAACAGTCCTTCCCTACCTCTCTCCCATGCATAAGTGCAAGAATGATCTAAGAACAGCCAATCAGGTTTAACTACATTCTAGGATTAGATCTTAAATTCATGACTTGTAACATTATCGAATACATTTTATTATTTATACAAAAATAAACCTTCTGTTGGCCTACTGCAATAAATTGAATTTTGCTGGTTTATCGACAAAGATAGAGCTTTAATACCATCAGAAGTTTTATCTTTAAAACTAACTTTTTATGCCACAATGTTCATCATTAAATAAATAAGTAAATAAACCATTGAGTCCTGGACTTTTATTATTTTCCTCTTGAGCAAAAACTACATTAAACTTAACAGATAGTATGGTACCATTTTCTTTCAAACATTTAAGTTGACTACTACAAAACAAACATATAACTTTATATTTTAAACACCAACCTACCAAGTTAGAGGTATTATCTCTTGCTTTGCATTAAGATAGTCCCACTAGTCAAAATTGGGCTACAAAATCCAGTGTAAATCATTATTCGACCTATCAAGACGTCAACAGCATATAACAAGTCTGGCTTTGTCAACCCATACACCTTACTCTTCAGAATAAATGTTATGGCAGACATGGAATGACACTTAGACCTTCTCTTCAAGAAAAAAAGTCTTAATCCACAGGTCTCGAAAAACTGTGCTTCCCATACAAATATGGTGGAAGTACCTTGTATCGTCCTGAAGAAAATTAATAAAAGCCTCTTCCATTGATAAAATGAGGTGCTTGCAAGGAAGGTTGTTCTTAACAGTGAAAGCTAAATCCTTCACCTGCATTTATGGTTTAAAAATAATAATACTAATAGTGCTTGCAAGATATGCTGCTTCTCTCTCTTCAAGTGAAAAGAAAGTTAATGGCTCTGGATTCTCTACCTCTGAACCTGGAGAAAATTAAAATGCACAGAGTTCAGCATTCCATCTTTTTTTAGGTCTTGAAGAAAAATGAATGGACACCCCTAAACTTTATAGCAAGTCACACAAAGACCATAGTGATAGAGAAAGCATTTGTTTATTGTAGCTACAGTATATATGATACAGATTCCACTCATCTTTCCTTTAAAAAAGGAGTAACAGGTTTTATGTCTAGTATGCATATTTCATATCCTAAAAGCCGATAAAAGAGCCTATGAAGTATGCAAGTGTAAAAATAGAACTATTCCAGACACATCAATTATAAAAATCCTATGAAGCCTTTGGTGTGCAGTTATTGTGGTGCCTATGGAAAAAACGTCTTTATTTACTAAGAGAAAACATAATACCATCTTCACTTTCTTGATCAGAATCTCCAGGCGAATTCAATTCACCATACTTCCACAGTAAATCTCTTACAAGGATGGAAGGTCTGCAAGTTAAGAATCCTATGAATGCACAAGACTAAATTTGAGGCACAGGGAAGAATATATTACATAGACTTATACATTACAAAAAAAAATTGTGTAATACAATTCACTTGAGAAGGAGGAAATACTGAATCTATTTGGTATCACAACATTAATAAGAGGTATCATTTTCACGTACATTGAAGTCCCAGGGCATTGCTCCACTACAATGTGTCGATCATCTCCTTCACCCTCTGAATGATGAGAAAATCTAGCAGGATACACAACGATGATGATCGTGATTTGTAAATTAAAAATAGGGAAAATGGAAACTAATAATCCAACCTTTTAGCGTTTTTCTTACAATAGTCCCACCTTTGCATTATTCATGAATAATCCAACCTTTGCACCCCATCTTCATTCACTGGTCTCAGACCGATTTGTGACCTGTTATTCCAAGTTATTTCTTATCTTTGCAAAACATTATGTGATCATAAGGTGAGAATTATGGAACAATGTTTTACAAAGATAAGAAAATAACTTGGAATAACAGGTCATAAATCGATTAGGGACCAGTGAATGAAGATGAGGTGTAAAGGTTGGATTATTCATGAATAATGCAAATGTGGGACTATTGTAAAAAGACCGCTAAAAGGTTGGATTATTAGTTTCCATTTTCCCTTAAAAATATGGTTAAAAAGAACATTCAATCTAGTAGTCATCACTTACCCAAAAATATCAGCAAGCCGATGTACAAGAAGACGCTTATATGAATTCATTGGTTCCAGGTCCAACACTCTTTTTGAACTGCATAACCATGTTTCATGAACGAGTTAATCCATGAAAAAAAACTGCCTCCACACCCCACAGCCCTCCAAACCCAGGTGCAAGTGCAAAAATGGTATGAAAAAATAGCCAATCAGGTTTCATTACATTCTCAAATTTGGACCACAAATAAACATTCTCAAATAAGCATTCAGAAATAGACTCTAGGGAAGCACTTGTCAGCAGTTTAATGCAAACTACAGAACTAGCTCCTATCCTTTATATTCTGTCCTAGAAGCAGGACTCTTCGGTTTATAAGTGTTCGGATAAACAAACACACATATATTTCACACCTAATTGCCACAAATTAACTTTACAAGTGCATTAAAAATACTATGACTATAACCCCGCTTGAGTTTTCAAATTCACTTTCTTTTTCACTAGCGCTCCAAATTCATTATGTAAATAGGCCATGTAAATATTTAAATTTGTTCTTGACCTTGGGATTCAATTTTGGGCAGTATCACTGTTAATTCTCATCCTTGACTTTGTACATTCTTCATCCTTACTAAAAAAGAATTAATCCTTGCAGATAATACAAATTTACTTCCAACATATCCTTTAAAGGAGGTGATCCTACCCACTGATTCTTGCAATACAAATTATCTTAAATCCCCCAAGGTTTGAGATCCTCTCTACTCCATAAAATCTTAATGAGGATCCTCGTTCATTTTTAAAATTCAACCTAGCAAGTTATTTGCAGTATAATGTTTTTTTCATAAAGGTCATCAGTGACATTTAGACAAAAAAATATAGCATAATCATTTCTTCAATCTATCAAACACATATAACAAGTTGGGCTCAAAAACGGGGTGAAACCACATACTACCTCGAATTGTTCTGAAGAAAATCAACAAAGGCATCTTCGACCGATAAGACAAGCTCCTTGCAATAAATATTTCCCTTCACGAGGAAAGCTAACTCCTCAACCTGCACTTACGCTAACATAAGTACTCATACAAGTCTAGGTTGCCACCTAAAAGCATTAAACCAACCTCTTTAAGGTAAAATACGATTGAAAAGCAGAAGCACTGAAGCAGATAATTTAGTTCAGAAAATTTGGGTTTCGCAAAGATTATTATGAAAGCATCGATATACTGATGCATATAATAATTCCAGAAGAATCAAATTCGAAAGCATGCGAGAAAGCACTGACCATGGCGAACTCGTTGGAACTCATTGTACTTCTGAGATTGTAGTACGGAATGCTTCGAAGGGAATGTGAATGGTGGATTCAAATGTCACCTCCAGAGTCCAGCGCTACAAATTGGTACAACCAAAAGCACTAAAATTGGTTGAATAGGTTTATTCTCCTGAAATTTACGAAGTTATGGCTAAAGTGGTTTTATTGGCTTATTCCGCTGATTCATGAAAATAAAATTTAAAATATTTTTTTATTAATAAATTAAATAAAAAATTATATGAAAAAACAGCTAAAATGATCCTCTACACAGTAACTTCACCCAATACAGCCAGAAAAGTGACTTCAACCTTACTTTTTCTGCTTATTACAAAATTTAGCACGCAAAATCAAAAGTTACGTGTTTGGTGAAAAAGCTGACTGATAAGCCTGATAAGCCGGAAAAGGGGATCACGGTCTCCCAATATACGGTTCCAACTTCGACGTCAAGCAAATGTTTTCCTAGGTAGTTCAAGTTCAAGTTTTGGAATTCTAACCTAAGATCATTATATACTTAAAAATACACAAAAGATAGTTATGATTGGACCCATTTTCAAATAGGGTCATGTTTTGTGGAAATGTTCGAGCTTAGCCCCTTTTGCCCCTAACGTTTCATTTATGTCCATGTAGAAAATATTTTTCAAATCTAGACTTTATACTTTTCACTTTAACTTTTGTGATTTCATAAACAGACTAAACCCCAAATTAAAGTCAAATTCAAAAAATCAAAACCCTTAATTTTCTCTCGGTCCCCATGGCTTCTCCGCTGCACCTTGCGTATGTGAGAATAATGGAATGGCGTACCAAATATGGTAGCCCTGGGTGTGTATATATATGAAGAAGTGTTTAGCGTACAATAGGAAACTTAATACAATAGGAATCCTAATACAAAGAAACTAGTAAATAATAATTACTCTATTACATCCCCTCAATCTGTGCAGAGGAAACAACGTGCAGATTGTCTCCAAGAAAAATAAATCGAGAAAGACACTTGGTGAAGATATCAGCAAGCTGAAACTGTGTAGGAACATGACGAACGATCAAATCTCCATGCGAAACGTGTTCTCGAACAAAATGATAATCAATGCCGATGCGTTTGCTGCGTGCATGCTGAATAGGATTAATGGATAAATAAGAAGCCGGGACATTATCACACAGCAACCGAACTGGCGTGCGAATGGGTACTCCTAACTCAAACAGAATGGACCTGATGTGTACTGTATCCTGAACTGTGTAAGCAATAGCCCTGTATTCAGCTTCAGTGGATTAACGGGAAACAGTGGGCTGCTTCTTGGACTTCCAGGAGATTAAGTTAGGACCCAAAAAAATAGCAAAGCCAGACGTGGACCGGTTAGAGTCAGGACACCCGGCCCAATCAGCATCAGAATAAGCTTGAATAGTAGCAGATGACTGATATGGCTGAAGCAGTAGGTCGTGATCTGGAGTGCCTTGAAGGTACCTGAAAATGCGCTTAACATCCAAGATATTTGAAGTACGAGGCGCATGCATAAATTGGGAAACTAGGTGAACAACAAAAGTAATGTCAGGTCGAGTCATGATCAAATACTGTAAAGCACCTACCATACTCTGTACTTCGTAGGATCTGCAAGAAGTTCACCATCAGTGAGAGATAACTTAGTTCTTGAGGGAAGAGGCCGGGGTGCGAACATGTTTAAGAGTATGGAGATGGAACCTCTTTAAAAGATGAGACACATATTTTTATTGTGATAAAAATAGACCGTTAGAATGACGCACAGCTTGGACACCTAGGAAAAAATGTAAGTCCCCTAAATCCTTCATAGCAAAATAGCGAGCAAGACATGAAATAAAGGACGAAATTAAGGAAGGGGAATTACCAATGATAATAATATCATCCACATATAGTAGCAGGTAAAGAATAGATGACCATGGTGATAAATAAATAAAGAATTATCAGACTTGCTACATAGAAAGCCATGAGTCAGAAGAAAGCTGCTAAACCTGTAAAACCAGGCCCGAGGAGCCCGATTGAGACCATAAATGGCCTTTTGCAGGCGACACACGTGATTAGGAACTGAGGATGAACGAAACCAGGTGGTTGACGCATATAGACTTCCTCTGTCAGATGTCCACGCAGAAATGCATTTTTAACATCTAACTGACGCATGATCCAACCAAAAGAAACATCAAGAGATAAAACAACACGAATAGTAGTAGGTTTGACCACATGACTAAAAGTTTCAGAAAAATCAACCTCATTTTGTTGAGTAAATCCTTGAGCTACTAAATGCGCTTTATGCCTCTCAATGGACCCATCAGAATTAAATTTAGTTGTATAAATTCATTTAGACCCAACCACATTTTTATGATGATTAAACGGGACTAAATACCATGTGTGATTATCGATTAAAGCATTAAACTCCTCAGCCATAGCCGCACTCCATTTAGGATCTTTATTAGCAACCGAAAAAACAAGAGGGGTCGCATGTCATAATATCTGTTTTAAGATTAAATATAGTTTTAGGTTTAAAAATGCTTGACTTAGACCGTGTTTGCATTGGATGACCAGGCTGAGTCGGGAAGGAGGGGATAATGGTCTAGAGGTACTGGAGGAGGCCGAGTGGTCTGTGGGCTGATGAGCAGATATGGGTTCGGGCTGGTCTGGGGAACTAGGCGGAGATGAATGTGGTGTGGAGGGCTGCTGTGGGTGGGGATGAGGACCGAGGGGTATCAGCACTGTCGTGCTGCATGGGAGTGGGTGGGCGAGATAAATCATCAGCTGGGAGTGGATTAATCAGTAGCTGGCCTGGGTTGAGAGAGGATGAGCTGGCAGTGGCTGGTTGGTGGTAAGGGAGTGGGGCTGAAGATATCAAAGGAATGGAGGCAAGGGGTTGGGCATAGGACACCGAAGCACTGTTTTCAGGTTTAGAGGAAGTGAGATCAGTTTATGAGAAATAATTTTCATAAAATCTAACATTTCAATTGATGTAAATTCGTCCGGTAAGAGGATCAAGACAAACGATAACCTTTATACTCAGGAGCATAGCCCAAAAATACACATAAAATTGAGCGAGGTGAAAGTTTATTTGCAGATGTGATATTAAAATTGGGAAAGCAGACACACCCAAAAATACGCATAAAAGAGAAGTCTGGAGGATGATGAAATAATTTTTCAAAAGGAGAAAGCCATTTAAATTTGGAGTGGGAAGATGATTAACAACATAGATAGCAGTAAAAACCGCATCTACCCAGAACGTGGCTGACATTTTTGCCTCAAATAACATAGTGCGAGTTAATTCTAGGAGATGTCTGTGTTTTGTCTCAGCCACACCATTCTGTTCAGGAGTGTCAGGGCACGAATTTATGAACAGAATGCCATGCTGAGAAAAAAGATTACGCATACCATGATTATCAAACTCACCTCCTCCATCACTTTGAAAAATTTTAATTGTAGAGTTGAGAAGATTTTCAACCATTGCTTTAAAATGCATAAAACGTTTCAGAACTTCACTTTTATTACGCATAGGGCTGCACATCGGGCGGGTTGGGTCGGGTTTGCTATATTTTTTGGACCTACCCGGTTTGTTTGGGTTGACTATTATTCAACCCTCAGTACGTAAAATAAGTTGGTAAACCATGCATGAACGGGTCGGGTATTGAAAAAAATTAAATCACTTCGGATTGCATATTTATGTGGGAGATTAATGTAACCAATTTAAAACTCGATTAACTTGTTTCAAAACACACAAACAAAAACAAGTACTCGTATCTTTTATAAGCAAAAACATTAGATAATAGTATTAAAACATCCTTCCGTAAAGGAAGATCATTTAGAAGAAAACATAAATATATAATAATCACCTAGTCAAAATGGTAAATGTTTAATTATGATTCTAGTATCATAAAGTCCTAGATAGAGAACATTGGTCTTAAATTGAAATTATCCAAGAAAACATTGTAGCATAATAATAGTAAAATGAACTTCGGTCGGGTTGGGTACTATCGGGTTGGAGATTTTAATTCCGCAACCCTACCCATTAGGTGCGGGTTCGATCATATTTAACCCATGAATATTTTTAAAAATCAAATACACGGTTAAATAGGGTAGGGTTGGGTCGGGCGGGTTATGCGGGTTCGAGTTATTCTTGTGCAGCCCTAATTACGCATAGGATATAAGTCATATAACCAAGTAAAACGGGAAATATCATCAATAAATAAAACATAGTATTTAAAGCTACTAGCAGATAAAACAGGAGACTGCCATACATCAAAATGAACCAAATATAAAGGGGCAGTATTTATGCCAAACTTCTTGAAAAGGTAACCGTTGAGATTTTCCTAACCGACAAGCAATACAATCATGTGAAAATTTAGAATTACTAAAAATAAAACCAGACTTTTTAAGTTTATCTAAAATACAGCTGCCATAGTGTCCTAACCGCCGATGTCAGACAGGTCCCGGAGCAACAGGAGTAGCTAAAGCAGCATGTGTGGAATAAAGCAAGAAAATAGGATAAATGTCACCTTGATTAGGAGCTTTAAGAAGCACCTCCCCCGAATTGTGGTCCTTAATACAAACAGATTTTAAATGAAGGGGACGCGGTGGAGAAGAAAAAGCTAAATCACCAACAGTCACAAAAGCTAGGCGCTAGTCGGGCGGTTGAGGGGCGCCTAGCGCCTAGGAGGCTGACCAGGCCGATTTTTTGGCCGACTACGTCGATTTTTTGGCCGACTAGGCCGATTAGTGTTCCTCAGTTAGGGCCGACTAGGCCGTCTAGGCCGATTAATCGGTCCGACTAGGCCGATTTGTAGAACAGTGGTTAGTGGTCCGGAATAAATTGATTTATCTTCTAAAATACCTTCTCATGGAGTATATGGACCCCGACCCCCCGTCCTGGCAACTATTGGGCCCGAACAGAAGCCCACGTACGCTCAGTAGATATCATTTACGTTATTGTACATTATTATTATTCGGGTGTTCTAGATTAGCCTTTTATGTTATCAGTCCTTTTATGTAACCGGGTCTGTCAGGCCCATATTAGAGACCCAGACCCGGATTTCTCTATATATACTCCTTTTGGAGCTTGTAAACCCTATGTCACAAACTTC